AGATAAAATGCTAAATATTTTGTAGACAATATATTTGAAGTAGTAGTACGAAGAAGAAATGTTGATGTTATTTATAGACTATCTTAAACTTCGTGGGATGTTACATTCTGTGGTTTTTTTCTGTCTGCTTTGATATCTAATATACAATCTTATTTAGCATCTTCAGCTTCTTCTTTGATATCTAAAACTTTTAGCTACAAAACCCTAGAAAATCCTCTTGAGGCACAAGAATTTTTGATCTTTCAAAATTCTGAATTTTTTTTAGCTTCCTGATGTGAAGTCATAAACCTATTTTTATACTAGTGCAAGGACTCTTGTGCATGAAAACATACAGAGAATAAAAAGTGCATGCAAGCTTCTTCTTTTACCATCATTTCATTATTGAGATTATTTCCAGAATACTCTTTCCTTTTGCATTCTTTTGTGTCAAAACCTGAAGCTGCTTTGGTAGTATTTCCACAATAAAACTTCTAAACTTTTGAGCACTTTTATGAGTAGGATGAATTCTACTACACTGTTTGGGAAGCAGTGAGCTGCCTTTGTTTTTCAGCTCTTGCAGCGTTTGAATGGGGGTTGCCAAAGCCAATTGAGAAGACAAATTAATTACTAGCCTCTATTTCTGTTTCACACTCTGCTTTAATCTTTTTTAAGACACTAATAGTTCTAAATTTGAAATAAAGAAAATTGAAGTGAAGGATCACCTTGGATTTTTCCCCTCAGACTTCACATATACAACGAGTGCTTCACCAGTTAGGAATCCTTTCAACTGTATTGGCAGATTTTCTGAGTAGGCATGTAAACGTAAAACAGAGGTATGCTTTGTATGTTTAATCATCCCTATGTTCTGTGGATGAAACAAGAGGTACCTTTAAAAGTGCCATTTCATTGTGACTATACAAAGTGCTTCTGCCATCTTCTGATATGACAAATATCAGATGCACCAATCTCTGGAAGATCACAGTCCTTTTGCCACAACTCTTCACATTTCTTATGAGAGTTGAAAGGATGTACAATAGAAAAAAAGTTGGCGTCATGCCACACTGGGCAGTGGTAAGCCCTGTAGTGTTTTCACTGGTTCCAAGTCACTATATTGAAACAACAATCTAGCTTTGTATAATTTAGCATGAAAACTTTGATAAAGGTAGCTTCTCTAGAGAGGTAAGACGGGCTTCTAAATTATACAACAGGATGAACCACAGACTTATAGAAAAAGAAACTGGAAAAGGCCTCAAGACCTCATCTTGTGCATTCTGAAGCTCCAAGAAAGAATCAACTGTACCTCAGAAATGGAAAAGTATTTAATTATCTGTTTTGTTAATAAGATTTTCTTAATATATAACATAAACTTCAGTGTCATAGTTTAAACCCATCACTTTATATCCACTACAGCTAAAAAAAAATATAATCCCTCTTTACCTCTTTACAGGTAACTTATTTAGGTTATAATTTTCAAGTGTTCAGTTGGCCTTCTCTTCTTCAGACTGAGCAACCCCAATTCTTTCAATCTTTCTTTTTTTTTTTTTTTTTTCCCCAGACAACTGATCATTTTCTCTGCTCTACTCTGGCCTCTGTCTAGTTGGCCTACCTTTTCTCTGAACAGTTTTGCTTGAACAGGACACAGTGCCACTGGTTGCTGTGCTAGCCAGAAATATAACAGGAGGTGTTCCTTAATGCATCATACAAGCAAAACAGTCTATCTTCCTAGCACACAGTTTGCATTCTTTTGCACATATGGTGTAACACCACTTATTCATGTATAGCTTGCACCTGACTGCTACCCCTCTTATCCTTTTTTGGCTCAATGGCTGCCTAATCGATCATCGCCAGTCCTACATCTTTACCAACTATTATTTCCTTTCAGAACCTCACACTTGTACACACAATTGCATTGTAATGTGTTTTCTTCTACACATAATTTCTCTTATTTGTCAAGAGCATTCTGAATTGAATGTATCATGCAAAGTGTTTGCTGTTCATCTGGTCTTGTTGTTATCTACAAGGTTGAAGGATTGTTGCTTTATCCAAGTCATTAGTGACTTGAGCCATTATCTCACCCAGAACAGACCCAGCTAGAATCTCACTGTTTGTGTTTTTTGAGATTGATAGTGAATGATTAAAAACTGATCTTAAAGTCTGTTGTTTTGGTTTGTCTCTTCAGGTGGTTTTGCAGTCTCCCTGAAGTAGTTTCACTTTAATTTACTTTTGAAAAAGTTATGAGTTAATGTCAATAACTTTATTAAAATTAAAACATATCACATGATCTGGGGCTTCTCTGTCGCAGAAATTAGCAGCCTATATGTCAAAAATATAAAGCAGTATTTTTTTTAAACTATCTCTAACCTTTTATGAATAATTTATTTTTTCATTTATTCTGTATTTTTCCAGAATTGGTCATGTTGTTATTTCTTGGCTTTTTAAAGATGAGCACTGTGTTCACCTCTTCACGCATTTCTCACGCAACTTTTGAGAGTTTTCAGAGGAAGCTAAAATAGCTCTGGGCTTGCTTCACTCTGTTCTCAAGGTACCTTCATGCGCACTTCCTCAGGTGCAGCTGTCACTATGGACAGGACATACTTCACCTAACTGCCTGTACAACAGCCATCTATATCTGTGCGGGGGTGTAGGTTCCTATCGCAGTCAAGGGAGACTTAGTACTGTCAACAACCAATGGAGAGCTCTTCTGCAGACACGCAGTAGAGGCATAATTGAGGATGAGCTGAACTGCAGTATTTCCAAATTATTCTCAGATCTGTTCTTTTCTTATTTTAGATGGATTCTTTCTTACTGGGCTTAGTTATTAATAATAATTACAGATCACTCTTTTATGAAGTGATGGAAAATGTACTTCGGCCTTCTGCAAATGAACTATCACTAGGCTTTTCTTTTCCTTACAGATTTGTTTTCTTGCTATCCCTTATGTCCATTGCTTTTTGCAGTTAAATTTATTCTTTCTGACTTCGTTTCAGCATCTCATGCTGTTCTTTGATACTTGTCCTTAGGAGTTTGACCTGGTTTCCACTTTCTGTACATTTCCTTCTTGTGTTTCAGGTCATTGAAGACCGTGTGGCTTAGCCAAGTTGATCTCTGACCATACTTCCTATCCTCCTACTCTGTGGGATTGTTTGTGTTTGTACCCTAAACATCATTTCTTTAAGGAACTGCCAACTCTACTGAATTCCTTCTGCTTTAGCCATGTTTCCCATGAGAACTTACCTACCAGTTCCCAGGGTTTATTCGAGTCTTCTTGTATAGAGGCCATTTGGTCTGAATTGATCTTTCCTCTTGTTCCTCATCTAAAAATAATATACATTATCACTTCACAGTTGCTTTCAACCAAATTACCTTTACCCTCATATTCCCAACCATCCTCCTTCTTGATTGCTTAGCAGACAGCCTCTTGGCAGGCTGCTGTTTGAAGCACTTGGCAGGCTCTGACAGCTGCTGTAGACCATACGCAGGGAGTGGTTAAATGCTGCTCATTATACCCAGAGAGAGACACAGCACATTGCTTTGTAATGTGCAGCTGGAGATGCTCACCTAAACATTCACAAGGAAACACTTGCATCTTTTAGCTGGGCATTTAATCAAAACAAAGACAAATACTACGTATACAGAGTGTTTCAGATGCTCTCCTGGGAAAGCGTCTGTGTGGATGCAGAAACACTTTTCCCAGCCTTGAAGAGCAGGTAAGGAGAAGACAAAATCCTCTCATCCAATTTCCTTTGCAGACCTGGGCATAAAATAAAAATGATGTGTCTCTTTGGACTGATTTTTCTTTTTCTGAATCTTTATTTTCTATTTATCATCACTCAAAGGAATGGGAAATCTCCACATAGGTTGTCTGATTGCTGAGTAAAATTTGATTTTTGGTAGCTTTTCATGTTACTGTGATTTTCATAGTGTAGTAAAACCTCCACAAAGAGAGAGATTTCTTTGTCACAGAGTTGTTTTTGCTTTGGGTTTTTTACATTTCTATATTTAGAAATTGCCATTGTATCTCTCAAGAAATAAACTGAGACGTTATTTATCTTTTGAAATCACACCATGATGAAGTGAATCTACAGAGGATTTTTTTGGCAGTCTATTTTTCATTGCTATAGCTCTCCTCAGTTAAGAACAGGGGAGTATAACATACAGCTAAAAGTTGATGCTACAAGAATTCTGGTGCCTAAAATGAAGAGACAGAGGCTTTCATTTGCTTTCCGACTTTGCTAAGGGTAATACATGTCTTGACTCTTCTCGTTTCAATGTGGTTTGCAGCTCCATAGGATTTTGTCAAAATTCAAGTGTTTAAGCTGAAATTTTTAAGCTGAAAAAATTAAGAAATATGTGCCTCAGTATAATTTTTTAAAGCCTTTGAGCAAAAATAGTTCATAGGTTTTTATACAGGGTGCTCTGAAACTGCTCTTTTTTCTCATCTTAAATGGTTTCAGTGACCTTTTCTCTAAGTTTAGGTACTTTGCAGGCTTTGGAAAAAGCATTTGAAAAATGAGTCTAAGGGGATTCCTCCTGTATATTCTCAGTGAAACCTCTGCTGGACTGAGATGGCACAAGGGAGTAAGGCTCCCATTTTAAATAACAAGACAAGCATGAGCAAGATTTTTTTGGGAAAAGTGTTGAGGATCACTGGCAAAATAGATTCAAAGAATGAAATCACCAGGAAGAAACTGCCTTGATAAGCAATGTGAAAATTGATGTGGGAGGGAAAGGAAAGGAAAATGTGTCAGTATAGTTTGGGAGATACTAAAATAGCTAGAGGAGCTTAAGTGCAGAACCTGGGACTAGCTGAGTACAGAGCTGAGAGCAAGAAGCAGTGGAGCTGCGTGGGAGGCTTGGAAGAAGAAGAGACAGATCTGATGAGCTGGGCTTGGAAGTGTGGTTGATGTGGGGGGCTGTGAGGCTGACTGAGGAGACTAAGGGAGGAGTCTAGCACTGGGTGCCAGCAAAGAGCTGGCTTGTGCCTGGGCAAGACTGAACAGCAGAATTGGAGTGAGATCTGATGCGCATTTTGGAAGCTGGAAAACAAGATTTGCTGGGCAAGCTGACTGGGAGCAAAACAAGGATGGCTTTTGGAGGTGAGGATTTGCTGGAGGCTCAGTTAAAATTTTGCCTGTGGAGTGGAAGTAGGGACTGGGGAAGAAGGGGGGTCACACCTGGAGCAGGGGCAGAGGGCAAAGCAATGATGTCTATGCAAATATATGTCCAGCAGCAGGTCAACTCAGTGTGGGAGAGCTACTGGGGAGTGGGGTGCAAGGAGGTGGAAGTGGGAGTGCAAGACTCTTGGCAGGCTGTGCTGATGGTGGGAACAGGGAAAGCAGGGGCAAGCTGTACTAGGGACCATTCTCTTCCAGTGCCAGGAATGGCATCCTGTGTGCCTGAGTCTCGCCATTTTGTTGCTGTCAGCAGATAAGTCTAACGAGCTTGGGTCTCATCATTGTTGACACTGGGTTTGTTTAAAAGATATCAACCTGCTGCCACTATCAGTTATTCTATTAGAGTGAGTATCATAAGATCAGTCATGGGAGCTAAATGATTCACCACTGACAATGATTTTTGTGCATATTGTTGTGATGCCACACGAATACATTTTTCAGTAGTATTTCAACACTTGTTTTTTAAAGAAACAAGATGTTCCACACAACTTGACACAGCTCACAGGACAGATGCTCTAGGGCTGTGCAGTAGGATCCCCACTATCTACAGCAGATGAGGAAGGTGTGCAGTGAATCAGGCAAGAGGTTTTAGGATGAAAGTTTGGGTTCTTTTTCTGTCACAATAATCCCATGTGATGTCGGGTTCCCACCTTTTCAGAGGCTCTCTTTGACTGTCCATTCTGCATTTTGGGTACTTGAGCAGGCTTTGGAAAACAGATTCGCAGATCTTTTGAGCATTCATAACTGTAACTGAATCAGCAAGACTATTTTGAACTTGGAGTGTACTGTGACATTAAATACTCTGAAATGTCAGCTCTTTAGTTTCAAGACTGTGCTGCCAAAAGCCAGCAGATACTTCATCTTATGCTGTCTATGATTTAGCTTGTGCACCACTTTAATGCTATTTCCTAACTTCTTAATATTTGATAATGCATGTGCCATAGTATGATGTAAAAACATGTTTCATAAAAACAGACTTTAAACATAATATTTCTGCTGATCAGCTTGTTCTGCAATACAGAGGAGACCAGAAAGGAAAGGAAAAATAGGCCTAGATTCATGTAGGAAGAGGGAAGAATGCATACACACAGTTTGTCAGTAATTGTCAGGATGTTTCTGGTGAGGAGAAGGTTATTTCTGTAAAAAAGCAGGCACCAAAACACCAGTGAAAGGACTTGTACATGATTCCTATGCAGGAGTCTTTGGAGGATTATAAAAAAAAAAGAGTTGGGGCGAATGGGAGTAGAGGTATGGTTTTGGACAAAACAGTGTTGGATCCTGAAAATGGGAGTCAAAAGCTGGACTACAATAATAGAAGAAGGTGGAAGAGATGGGAGCAAAAAGGAAAATAATTTAAGCAGAGGCATTTTGTATGCACTGGAGTGTAAAAAGAGAAAGAGAGATCATGACTGTCATCACTTATGACAGAGGGGTGCTAGTGGAGGGAATACAAGAAGGATCTAACAAGGTAAATAGCAGCTAGGAGGTTGTCTGGGGGCTGCGTGCTGAGCGACTGGGAGAGTTACAGACACTTCTGGCTATGCTATTTGGTGTGCAATGGCAGGAATGAATGAATGAAGTTTACACAGGGAGGTGAGAAGCAGGAGGGGACAGAGAGGATCTAGTATTGAGACAAGGTGAGTAGACCTGAAGGGCAAAGACAACACTGCTGTTACCAACAGTAACTGAGAAGATAAATATGGGAGGGAACATGAGGTTTAACCAGGCCAAGTGCTGGGTCCTACACTTGGGTCACAACAACCCCATGCAGTGCTACAGGCTTGGGGAAGAGTGGCTGGAAAGCTGCCCGGCGGAAAAGGACCTGGGGGTGCTGGTCGGCAGCCAGCTGAACATGAGCCAGGAGTGTAGTCAAGAAGGCCAACAGCATCCTGGCCTGTATCAGAAATAGTGTGGCCAGCAGGAGTAGGGAAGCGATCGTGCCCCTGTACTCTGCACTGGTGAGACGACACCTCAAATACTGGGTGCGGTTTTGGGCCCCTCACTACAAAAAAGACATTGAGGTGCTGGAGTGTGTCCAGAGAAGGGCAACGAAGCTGGTGAAGGGTCTGGAGAACAGGTCTTATGAGGAGCGCCTGAGGGAACTGGGGTTGTTCAGTCTGGAGAAGAGGAGGCTGAGGGGAGACATCATCACTCTCTACAACTACCTGAAAGGAGGTTGTAGTGAGGTAGGGGTTGGTCTTTTCTCCCAAGGACGAGAGGAAATGGCCTCAAGTTGGGCCAGAGGAGGTTTAGATTGAACATAGGAAAAATTTCTTTTACTGAAAGAGTGGTTAGGTGTTGGGACAGGCTGCCCAGGGAAGTGGTGGAGTCACCATCCCTGGAGGTGTTTAAAAAGCATGTAGATATGACACTTCAGGACATGGTTTAGTGGGCATGGTGATGTTAGGTCAACGGTTGGACTTGATCCTAGAGGTCTCTTCCAACCTAATGATTCTATGATTCTAGGTAAGACACATGAAAAGCCAGAGACTGAGTGATCAATATAATGAGAAAAGCAGAGGGATTTTGTGAGGCCCCATCTCCCATGAAACAAGCCTGGGAGGAGGTCATTCATCGCCTCCATGGTAGGCGTGCATCATGTTTTAAGCTTTTCTTCTGTACTCCCTTTTCTCCTTTTCTTTCTCCTTTCCAAGTTTCTTAGGCTCATACAGATTCCCTAAAAAAAAGTGAAGGCTGCTGTCCTATGATTGGTTTTGCAGTGGTTTAAATGGCAGTTGATACATGTGTGGGATTCTGAATTAAGGGTTTAGATAAGAAGGCCCCTCAGCCCATTACCAGGTAACCAAGCAGAGTGGTGGACTTTGTTCTCATATTGTCTGTCAGGCCCTGAAAGCACTAACAGGGCACCAACTGTCCCAGCCCAGCCCCCTGTGGCTTCCCACAGACCAGGACCCCATGTCAGCCCCACAGAGCCACCAGTCCCTGCCCCAGAGATGCCACAGCAGGGCTGGTCTCCAGCTCCCCATGGTCCAGCTGAGCTGGGCCCATCCATGAGCCAATGTCACCATGGCTCTGCCTGATGATCTGGTCTCTTGGCTGAACCTGGTCACCGTCTCCAGTCTTCACCTTTCAGGGGTGGTAGATCCAGGCTGGTGAGGCTCCTGCCACACTGGCCATGTGGCTATTGCACTTGACTCCCGGCTCCCCATCTCAAAGGGAAGAGCTGGCATTATCAATGGGAAGTGGCCATACTTACAAAATCAAAAGCCCATGGCCTTTCTGGCCACAACTACAGGAAGGAAAACAGAGACAGGTTTGATCACATAGTAAGTGCTGGGTTCTAGTGCACGAGTGATTGCAGTGCACTTCATCTCATTCCTCTTCAAGCATCTGTAGTAATTTATTGGACAGTTTTGCATATTTCTTTCTATACTCATTTCCTTGAATTTGTTTTTCTCCATCTTTACTTCACTGAGTTAATCTTTGTGTCTTTTCCACTCCCATTCTCAACCTCCCTTTCCCACAGCATCGTTTGAGCTGGCTACACAACCCTTCTATTTCCCATGGCCCCGGCTGCACCGTTTGTCCTTAGATTGCTGCTCTCTGCCCCTCTCTGGGAGTTTTTCTGTCAGACTCTGTGTTGCCTTTTCCCATGTACTCTTTTTTTCTCCTCACTTTGATTCTTTTCATCCCCAAATTGGCTCTTCATTTTGCTTGCTTTTTTGTTGGCTGGTTGGTAACAGTTTTAGCATGCTGGCAGCCTAACCGGTGTTGGCATCCTCAAAAGGTGCAGGGGCTAGTGCCCTATAGAGTGCTCAAAGCACCCTATAGGTGCTTCAGAAACTTGTTCCAAAAAGAAGGGCAGCAGAGGAGAAAGTAGAAGCTATTTGTTTGTTAGCAAGGGCTAATGGTAGCAGGGGCTAGCAATATGACTGATCAGAAAGTAAAGCTGAGCTTTTAATACTGCATGAGAAATGACAAGTAAAGAAAAACCTTGGAAGGTAAGACAGGGAGATGACATGGGATGAAATAGAGAAGGAGAAGCTAAAAGACAGGCATAAGAAGGTGGTGTAATGAGCATAACAAGCAGTTTAATGATGGCAATGAGGAAAGGAGCACTGCAGTTGCTGAAACCAAAAAGAAATCTTATGCAGTAACAGTGGGCTGAGATGACCATTGCAGGGAAAAAGAGTTTTAGCTTGTGCCTCTGTTGGAAATGGTGGCTTTGTACCCATCTCACTGCTTTGAAGTGTGCTACTCTGTAGGACACCTCTGTCACCCTCTTCCTCAGTAGTCCCCAGCCCAGCTCATATGTTGTCTCCCTACTGAGCTTGTACCCGTTCTTGCCTAACGCCTTTCAGCCCTTGCTGCTGCAAGTGAGGTGATGTCAGGACCTGTCTCTTGTTGGCAAAATGACCCAGATCAGATGGTTCCTCCAGCCCTTGCCTGTTTGCGGCCTGTTGGAGGTTTCTAATCCACTAACTGTTTTCCACTTCATGGAGTAGGCCAGCCCGCCTGCTGAGACTCCAGTTTGTGAGGTCTCCCTCCCCGCTGTCCATCCATAGTGTGCTGTACAGGAACAAGGGGGCTGCAGATTTGGGTGAGCAACGGTCTTGCTTCTAAAGGCACAGTTCACTCAGTCAGAATTGTGTCCAGCAAAGCCTGTTTTTCTTGTTCGTTTTTTATTCTGGCTGTCCCTGGAGTGTTTCTACAAGCCACTCCCTCCTCACCTTCTATGTACCCACGTACATATCAGTATGTATGTATTTGCAGTTGTCTTTTTGAAGGGATTAACAGGGCTTAAGTGCAAAATGCACCTCAGTGACTGAGAATGTTATCTGTTTCCAGAGAATTTCCCTACCTTCCGCTGAGCTGCCCTACTGGCACCTTTTACTACTTTTGGCTTCAAATGTATCATGAACACAAATAAGTATTGTTGTAATTTCACTCCTTTAATCCGGAAAGTCCCATTTATTGTCAAGTAGAGTGCAGAGGATCACGCCATACGCTGAGCTGTGACCAAGATCTGTCTTTGCGAAAAGTTAGCTTGAGACACACCTTTGTAAGTTTATCACCAGGATACTTTAAATCCTTATCAACATACTTAGTTTACTTGGAGCAAATAATATGCCAGTGTAACTGGTATTAATGTGTTTCTGAACCACACGTATGTGTGTGTATATATATATGTACACATACGTAAAGTTCAGAAATATATATACATTTACACACACGAGTGCATGTACATGTATTTCTTTAGTTGGGTGATAGGTCCCATATGTACTTAACATTATTCAACTTTTCCAGTTATAGGATTTCCAATTGTTTATAAAAGTATCAAAATACTGGTTCTTTGGACTGATTTTTTTTAATACTTCTTTAAAAACTGCGTGTTTTTCAGTTGCAGTAGTCCAGCAGTTCCAGGAGAAGGATTAGGAAATGCTTTATTCTGAATCGTTGTTTTAGCAGTTCAAGGACAGAACGATGTACCAGTGATACCTGTTTCAAGGCAACGTAATCTACTCTGGTGCCTGTGCTAGGAATAGACCTGTGTGGCAGGAGAGAAAACTTCAGTCTAAGTGTGATGTGCTAGGCCATGTCCTCACATGACTTTATCATTAAAACATCTTTTGACTGTCTAAATACTTCCTAATTGGAAGAATACTAGAGGTTCTATATCAGACCTTGTTTTGGTCAGGTGAAAAGGAATGCATTACAAAACCAAAGTTGGTGGTTGGGTAAGTGTGAGTGGTTGTGGTGTAGCTATATATGGTATGAACAGTTAAAGTCCAGACTGCTAACATGTATGGGATGGTTGCAGAAGGTCTAGTATCACAAAATGGAAAGCAAGTACAAGACAAATGAAACAAGAAAAAGCAATTTGACAGAAAAGAGTTATCCGATGACTCAGGCACATGACACTTTTGTAAGAGCCCTGGAGAAGTACAACCTCATCTTTGAGATAGCTCTTCTGGGTCAAATGATCTAGGCTGACATACAGGTGATGTGCAAGTAGGTTGCCAGCCACTCCTCCATACCCAGTGTAGCATATAGAAAAGGGGGATGTTGAAAGTAATTAAAAGCAGAAAAATTGTTATAAGTTTCTTAAAGGAAACAGAAGAAAGGAAACAACATTTGTGGTCAGCAAATTTGAGAACAAAGATATGAACAACATGATATAACTCGTTTTGGTTTTGTTATGAGGAGTGTATACTGGGAAGAAAAGAATCTTAACAGTGGATTAATAAAGGGAGATGGTAGAATTATCAGTAATGCAAACAGGGTTGGAATTCAATAAATATTTCTCATTTTATGAGGACTTCAGTTTTTTTCTCATCTTGCATGGACGTGAGGTGATTTGCATTGCTTTGTCCAATAATCTGTTTTAACACAGAGCCACAAAGATGATTAAGGGGGTGGAACATCTCCCATCTGATGAAAGGCTGAGGGAGCTGGGTCTCTTGAGCTTGGAGAAGAGGAGACTGAGGAGTGACCTCATCAATGTTTATAAATATGGAAAGGGCGAGTATCAGGAGAATGGAGCCAGGCTCTTCAATAACAGCACAAGGGGCAACGGGTGCAAGCTGGAGCACAGGAGGTTTCACATTAACATAAGGAAAAACTTTTTCACTATGCGGGTGACAGAGCACTGGAACAGGCTGCCCAGAGAGGCTGTGGAGTCTCCTTCTCTGGAGACATTCAAAACCAACCTGGATGCCTTCCTGTGTGACCTACTCTAGGTGGTCCTGCTCTGGCAGGGGGGTTGGACTAGATGATCTTTCGAGGTCCCTTCCAACACCTGCCAGTCTGTGATTCTGTGTAATCTGTTCCCCATTTGCTACCTCCCTCGGCTTGAACAATTGCTCTGGTTGCTTTCACATTGAACTTTGGATTGTGCTACAGGAAATGGATCTCACCAGACTGACTTTACTAGTTTTGTTTGGGGTTGGTTGATTAAAGTAATAACATTGATATAGTGGATTTAGAATTGTATAAAGCATTTGACTTGATAGTGCAGCATGTTTCCCAAAAACATGCTTCAGTATCAAGTCAAATGAAAGGCATCAAATCAGCTGGACACACATTGAAGGAATTAAACATTAGCTAACTGTCAGGCCTCAAAAAAATCTCATCACCTGATAGAAATCCTCCTGAAAGAGTTCTGCAGGAAAGGGTTCTATAGGGATCATTCCTCTTACTGCCTGGTTTACTGTTTAGTAACATCCAAGAAAAAGTCACAAAATGGTTTCTGATGAAATCTGCAGAATCCAGTAAGACATGCAGAGTTGAAAATATTATGCCATAGCTACATGTGGTTGATCTATAATGATGTGATCTGAAGAACGAGCAAAAATCAACAGTGTAGTGTGAGGCTGTCATCTAGAAGATTAAAAAAAAATCCACAGAAAGCACACAACCGTATGTGACAAGAACAAAGCAGATTAACGCCCTGTATTTATTTTTGAGTATTTTCTCCTCTCTTTGGGGATATGTGAGTTCCAAAGAGACATTTAGATCTCTGACTCCTCCCTGTGTCATATTTCAATAGAAGACATTTCTGCCTCTTTTTTTTTTTTTTTTTTTTAAAAAAGAGTCCTACAGTACTGTCTTTCCACCTTGCCTGTAGAAGCCCATTCTGCTGCCCTTTGGTTACAGCAGAACCAGACTATGTATTATGGAGCTGTTGTGTTATTAGATTCACCACACCTCAACTGAGGAATGCCTTGTAGTTATCCAGTCACCTTAAATCACACTTAATTCAAGGTAGGATGAGGTAAAATGCAAATAGATGTATTAATTAATTACATCTAAAATAGACAACACAATTACAAATATCTGGAAAAGATGTAAGTGAAGAAATAGAAGAAAAAGTTCATCTGATCTACTGATACAATGTATCACAAAGGTGGGGGTTTTTTGGATTTTTTCCCCCCCCTTTTTCATTTCCGGGTGACTTGTCCTCTTTGTGACAAAACGGCTCTCAGAATTTTCTTTCCTCCTATTTCTCAGGTTGCTCTTAGGTGATTTTCATCCTTGGAGACTTTGCATTACACAGAACTCTGTATTTGGGTCTTGGATCAGAAAACATCTTCAGAAGAAGCCTTCGGACTTCACCTTCAGGTAGCTTCTCTGAATCATCATGTTGACCTCACTTGTTGATGGACGGTTTTAGCTCTTACAGCCAGTTTGCACTTTGAAGTTTTCTAAGAGGTCCAGACAGATTTCACCTGTCACCTTGGAGCTCGTTCTATCTCTCCTTATGGTCTGACCATTCTCCTGAATTAAAATAAAGATTCTTTTGCTTCCACAGATATGCAAATATCTTAGGAGTTGTCTGCTGTGTTTGACGAGCTCATAAAGAGCTTCTTTCCCTCAAGAAGGCAAGTCTATTCCATTTCCCTCTGGGGACTCACTGACATGTTTCAACATGAAATGTGTCTTATGGCAGACCTTATATTCTGTACCAGTAATTTAATTAACAAATATATATATGATACAAGTATCTAAATAGTGTAAATTAATCTAGTTCATTTTCTGATTCCTGAGATGGGTATGATAACAATAACTACCCTGAGCGGACAGCATTTAAGGTAAATGAAGCCCAACCTCTTTCTCCTAAGCATACTCTAACAAGGAGTCCCTGTACAGAATGACAGTGTCATATTTATTTTAATTGCTACACAGTGCGAAATTGTGGCTTCAAACTTCCTGAAATAGAATTAAAAGGGATCACTCAGTCTTGGACCTCATGAGATCAATGAACAATCTGACTGACTTTTAGCTGGCCTTGAAAACAGCCTTTGATGCATTAGAAGTCAGTAGACCACACAGAATTGATGTCCAGTGAAGAAAAGGTTAAAGGCCGAAGATCAACACATATTTTTTGTTGTAGCCCTTATAATGGTCTTATGCAACCAAGAAAATGCAAAAATATTGGCTAAATGCCATCATGTGTAAAGAATACTGCATTGATTTGAATGAGTATTGTAACAGTTTAATGTAAACACAAGTAAATCGTTAATATATGTGACTGCATATTTGTTCATAATGATGTTTACACGTCAGAGAGAGTGAACAGTCATCCCTCTCCATTTCTCAGGTCATGCCTAAACTAAGAGAGATTTAATAATTAGTGATGCTGTTAACCATACAAGTTTGAAGATATTCTGGTAAAGACGTGTGATATAATAACCACCCATCAGCCCTGAAAGGAGGAAGCCTTGCGTGCAAGTACATTTTCAGCAATTTGACTAGTGCTGCTTCTACTGGTGTCTCAGGACACAACAGGAAACCAGTTTCCATTATGGCAGCTGGGGTTTATGGACGTACACACTGTGTGTGTGGGAGGAGGGCACTACAGAGAGCTTCCAGAGTGGTCCTGTTGTACCTTTCTAAAAATAAAACAAAACAAAAGGTGAAGTTACATCCCCAAGAAATCCAGGCAATGATGTTCTTATTGCCAGCAGGTTCAGGGTGCAAAATTGAAAAGCGGAAAAGTTGTTGCTTGACTTTTTTGGTGGGGCACACTTTATGGGACAGAAATAGAATGTTTTGTTTACCAGTAGTTATGGTTTTGCAATGAATTTTATTACTTCAAATAAAAAGTGATGAAAAGCACGCTGAGGAAGAGCTTTCTAATGGGGGCAACACAACAAGATTGCCCAGAGGACTTGGAGAGCTCTCTCTCCAGGAAGTGCAAGGAGACAGAACGAGCAAGCAGAGCAGAGGGAACACATTGAGTGTTGGACTGTTTTGGCCATCTCTCCTTTCGTCTGTAAGCATGGAACAGCTCCTTTTCTGTTGTTTCCTCTGCTGCTTCTACATGCTTCCTGCCATAATGAACTATTTTGGGGCTCTTATGCTCCAGCAGCAATGGCAACAAACATATATAGGCTGCAGTGTCTCTGGGACAGAGAGAATGAGAGAGTTCACCTGTTGTTAGTAGTTAGGATTCTCTGCTGGAATGTGGAAGAGTTTATCCTGCAGTGAATATGGATTTATTTGTCCAATCTCATCCTGAATGCATCCTGAAGGCTTGTGGATAGGCCTGTTGCAGGTTGCAGAAAGATTTGTACTCACAGACTCCAATGAGTAAGGTTATTTTGTTATTAAAAAAATACATCTCTGTAATCCTAAATGAGGTTATTGTTACACAATGGGAAGAGATAGAGAGTTTGCTTGACAGGAACACCAGCTTTAAATGAGAAGGGGAGGAGTATTTGCTCACACACAGTTCACTGTTCTGAGAAAGAGGGGAATTTTGTAATACTTTGAAATGGTCATATTATTTGTCTGTTTGGTTTAACATTATAATTGTGGTAAGTCTTTTTCATAGGAAAATTTTTACTTATTAACAAAGCCTTTTTTTTTATAGGGCTTGAAAGGTCTTTCTACTGCTGTAAATTCTGTAAGAGAATGACGTGTGATCTTTGTTACATCAATCATACAAAATCTAACTTGTATCATCTTTCCTTGTTGACAGAAAGGCAGGTTTCCACTTTAGAGATCACATCATACTTCTTCCTGTGAAGATAATATGAACCAGAAGGTGTTAATTTTCCTTCTCCCAAATTTTATTTTTGGGATATTTCTTTTTGGGTTTTTCTGTAAGAGACAAAAAAAACTAACAGGTGAGTAAAGAATTTACCAAGAGAAAGACTTAAAGTTTTCTAGAACCAGGGACACCTTTCTCAAATGCGTTACAAAGAAACTACAGCATCTAAGTGATAGACAATACTATGAAAATGTCCAGGGCGCTGTAACTGTGATAGCTATCTTAGCAATGTATGAGAGGAAGAGCACTACAATAACCAGTTGACATCAGAAGTGTTAGAACATCGATCTTGCTTAGAGTAATACTGCTAACATGTTGAAACTTTTAACTTTCACAAACTTTTCACTAAGCAGGACAGTTTATTGCCTGTTTGCCATAGTGGAGTCTGGTGAGAGTAAACGGAAAGTTGATTTTAGCATCTTCATTAGTTTTTGTATGCAGGGAGAGAGATTGAATGCTATGATTGTCACAAAGAAAGAGACTTATGTAACTCTATTTCATGCTAATGTTTTAAATTTCTTCTTCAGCTGCAGGTGTTTTTTCTGATCCAACCAAAGATTGGCTGGCAATTCAAAATGATCGCAGAAGCACACTGGCTTCTATCTGCCTGAAGAACAACCTTCTTAAATTAAGAATCAAATCGGATTCTCATGTTGCAAACCAGCTCTTTGTGGAGCACAAACATAAATTTATGTACTGTGAGGTGCCCAAGGTAGGCTGCTCCAACTGGAAGAGAATTATTTTTCTTCTCCAAGCAGGCTTGAATGCGGAAGCTTCTGAAATCGAGCATGACCACATCCACCAGACTTCGCTGATCAAAAAGCTGGTGTCTTACCCCCCTGCCATACAAAAGGAATTTCTGAGCAATTATACCAAAGTGATGTTCACTAGACATCCCTTGGAACGACTGGTTTCAGCTTACAGAGACAAACTTCTGCACTCCGAACCATTCTACAGTGTCACTGTCGCTAATGAGATTAGGGCAATGTTCAGGAAAAACAAAAATTCTTCTGAAAAAGTGAGTTTCCAGGAGTTCATCAACTTCATTACAGCAAAACCACCAAATAGTCTTGACATTCACTGGAAACCAATGTATCTGCTCTGTGATCCTTGCAACATTCGCTATGATATTCTGGGTAAGTATGAAACTCTTGGATTAGATTCTGAGCATGTTCTGAAAGTCATTGGAGCACCAGAGAGCCTGCACTACCCCAGCTTGAAGAGGTATGGCTCAGAGAAACGAACTAATGGTGATATCACCTTGGAGTATCTCAGACAATTGAACTCAGAACAAATTGAGAAAATCAAAAAATTGTATCAAATGGATTTTTTCTTGTTCAACTATACTATGAAATATGAGGGTTACTTTTCCCTCAATGACTAGGTTAAACAAAGAACAGTTTCCTTTGTACAAAATGGGCTGACCTTCTCCTCACAGGTGCTTGATAGGTGGCTTGGTGATTGACTGCTGCTGAAATTTTACTGCTGTTTGGAGACGTGGTTTATCATCCTAAGCACTCTTATAACGAATCCCTGCCATGATCTGTTGTACTGTACAGTACTTTACCTATACAAAATTCCTGTTGATCATTCATGGTATATGTTTGTTTCATGAAGACTGTTTCTAAATGATAGATTTTGGTCTGCTGGTAAGAGACAGGGGAAGGATGAAGAATGTTGTTTTTCACAATGAATATTTTCAAGACATCATTTTTTTATACAAATTATTTTAATTTTTTATTGGAAAAACATATGAAGCAATAAACAATCTGCTTGAGAGTCAAACCACTCTGTCTGCAAGAGCCTCAATCATGAATCCTGTAGAAAAGGAACAAATATCTTCGGATGCTTGAAGCTGCATTACACAGAACTTAATGCCTGACTATATTCCCCTCTAGCAGTGCTCTCACCGCAGCCCACCGGCCTCATCCCTCAAGCAGGATAGTTGGCAGCAATCCAGCCAGCATTTCTTTTCTATCTCTTCAAAATCTTTTGATGAGCAGGTCTGGTGTTCATGGTGACTGCAAACTCTCTTCACTACCTTTGTGAGTATTATGGTCTGATTTAAGAAGGAAGGTCTGAAAAATACATCTTTTTTTAGAGAAGTAGCTAGAGATACCTTCTAAATTGTATAACTGGGGTGGTGCAGGATCTAAAAATCTCAGTGGAAGCATGACTCTTATCTATTCTCCAAAAGCACTTATGACCCAGTCAGCTGACTGGCCAAGTCAGCACAGGGGGGGACAATGTTTGGGCTTTCCATTTGTGCCTGCTGGAGCCCATGAGCCCTTGGGACTTGCCTGAGCATGGCACTTAGGTGGAGCTGGGTAACCTCAGATAATACATTTGTTCCACCTGTTGCTTTCTCACTTCACAGGAGATTGAGTGCAAGTAAATAGTAGAATTATGATGAGGGGAGCAATGAAGCATGTGGGAGAAGCAACTCAAACCATTATCTGCTTCTTATATTCCTAGATGGCTTTGGTTTCAGATCACCGAGAGGTCTATAACTGCTGTTATATTAAGTAAGAGACTTGCCCCATTTTTTTAAAATCTATTGCCTAATCACATTGAAAATTAATTTGTGACCATATAAATTGTAGCAAGTTTTAGAAATGAATAGTGAGTATTAGCACAGCCTTTAGGGGATGTCAGTCTCTCAGGAGCTAATTTGAAAATCTCCCAAATGCACTTAGTTTCTATCAGCTATATCTGCAAATGTACAAAGGCTGGCAGGCTAGTCTTGGATTCAAAGTTGGCTCACAGCTTCCCATTACATAGAAAAGGACAGGGACAAAGTAACTTAATCACACTGCAGCCCCCAATCTGTATAGCCATTGCTGCCAGCAGCAGAGCTGAGAGGGAGGGAGAAGGAGACTGGGAAAAATGGATGCAACGAGAGTTGAGTCATGAGGGTTGTGAAGAGAGTTCCCAGTACAGGGAGTGGGATGCAGGGTGGTCTAACCCAGAGGGAAGCTGCAGTGATATATCGGACATCAGCTGGAGACACTGGTGAGACCATGGTGACAGGAGGAGGCAGAGGAAGAAGCTTTCTGCATCACTTCTTGACAGCAGATGGTACACAAAGCCAGGACTACCGTTCAGTACATCTGGCAGCTCTTGTGTGGCTGACTGTTTCATAAATGGCCCAGGGAGAGATCCAAAATGAGAAGACCAAGCAAGAACAGCAAAACATTTTTTTTTTTTTTAAATATATTGTAATTTTATGCAGAGTGATTCATGGTTCTGGATCATACCCTCACCACCGCCATATTTGGTGTCCCCACAGTCCTACTATCCCCTGATACTTGATTGCTCATGCCACCCTGGCAATCCTATAGTTCATGTGGACTTTTTTTTTACTTTTTAATTGTGCTGAGGCAGAGGAAGCTGGAAATGACTCCCATCAAAATTAAAGCTATGCAGAGAGATTCAGTCTCTCTCTTCTGAGTCAGAGCCATCTCCAACTACATGCTTCTCTTGCTTTCTTTGCCAGATCATGCAGAGGAAGAGGGGAATAAGGTTTCCTTCATAACTTGCTTCTACTTGATAGATCTCTACAGAGCTATAAGCTTCAGCAAAGATACTTTGATTTTCTGGCACCATCAGCCAGCCTAAGAAAACTCTGAAGAAATGATACTGACAGAGTTTGGTAGGTGTCTTTGCTATCAGCACTCTAGTTTTAACACTCCCCTCCAGTTTCTTGCTGTTAGACGTGAGTGGCTTTCTATTCTTATTTCCTCTTTCACACAGGATCACATATTCTTCCTATAGTGGTGATGGAAAACGGATAGCTAATTCATTCATCACAAGCACTAGTCAATAACAGAAGGCTATCTATTGGTGCAGAAAAAGCTCTGTCACTATTCACAATGGACTTTCAGGTTTGACATTTGCTTATAGGACACTGTAAGTAGCACACTACCTGGACCCACTGGCTGCTGTAATGCCATGTAGCTGGTGTGAGTCTCAACAAAACAGACTGCAGAGGACATGTGTGCATGCGTGCACATATAACAGTTTTAGGAAGCAGTGTCGTACAAGAACTGCATAAGTTGTGCATTACCAACACTAACAAAATGAGAATAACGGGTTGATAACTTTTGGAAAATAGAAAAAATGGGCATAACCTTATAAAGGATCTTTTAACACTCCCCTGCAGGCATCTTTTAATGGTCAACCCAATTTACTGCATTTCCATTCTGTGAGCTTGAGAATACTTCCTAACACTGCCCCCCACCACCCAAGAGCTTCTGTGCAGTGGTGCAGAAGTACATAAGAGCTCTGCAATGTGTTTCAGAGTTAGTGAAAACAGTGACAACCTGCTATATGCTGTAAAAAGCTTTCACAGCTTGCGAAGATGGGCATGGAAGTTTGGGCTGAGCTCAAAAAATGAGTCTGCAGGAGAAAATTGCAAGGACTTTAGTACTTTCGTCGAGTTGGCTGTATTTTTTAGCAATAATTGTCAAGCAGCAATGCTTGTGGGAAACTCTGGTCTATAATATTTCCTAATGTGTGAGAGACTGCCCACTGCCCAGAGTAGAGTGGGGACTGTACCACCTTGTTTATTCCCCAGGTGACCCCCAAGGCTCATTTGACTGGACAGCATTTTAAATTTGCCAAGGAAAGGGCTTACTGTTATTTCATTCTTGATATTGTAACGTAATAAAAGTTGATGAAGGCTCTGGACCTTGTCCTAGTCAGCCCACAAGAACTGCAAGACACCTGTAAACTTTATGATGAAAATGATAAGATGACTGTTTCTTCATGGCCTGCCTTCCCTACAAGTGTACTATCCAGAACAAAGACTTTAAGCTGAGCTGGCCTCCTTCCTGCCTTTGCCTAGAGAAGAAGAACCTCCAGTGGAGCTTCTTTCCTTTGGGTGCTGACTCTGGGTGATCTTTTCCTGGGAGGAAAGTGGGTCCTTGCTGTTCGGAGCAGGGGTGGAGGCAGCGTGGTGTGGTTTGGGGCCTGGGGCTTGGGCCCCAGGGTGGATTCGAAGGGATATGGGGTGCCATAGTTCATCTTCTGATTCATTGTTATATGCCTGTGATATGACAATTGCTATGTTTCATTTCTAACTACCATAATAAATTGTAGTAAGTTAACACATTGATCTATTTGTTCATCCTTCTCAATAATATCTGTTTAAAAAAAAAAAAAAGACATGGAGCTGTTCCATCAAATCATAACATAGGCCACACGCTCTTAGACAACAACAAATACAAAGCCATTTGGCTCCGCTTTGGTACTTTAATATAAAAAAGTCTCACAGGACTTTACAAGAATTGAGAGAATTAACAAATACTAGTGAGTGTTCCAGTTTGGAGAAAAGATGGAGCTAAGCAGGGAAAGGAAGAGAAACAAAAAATCTTGCAAAGTCAAGCTTCCAGCTCTCCTACAAATCTGTCTATCTGCAGTGAGGAAATAAGAAAGAATTTTCCCATTCTCATGGGTATCCACAAACATGACATCACACTTTCTTCATGAAAGTATAACAGATCTGATAATTGATCAATGTATGTCAGCAGTGGAGGCCGTGTCAGAATTGTTCCTTGAAGCAGATGTTTCCTCCACTTAAAAGGGATGATTCTGCTTGTAAGCAGTCCTAATTTTTCACACAGTTTTGAATGTGAATCTTAACAGGCGAACTGCGATCAGTGGTTTCTTGTTCAGAGAACTTCCCAAAGCAGGACAGCTGTGAACAGAATAAGAGGTGTCCACAGAAGAACAGTGTGAGCAATGAAACTTTGAGTGTCTGTTGCTCCACAGAAGTGTCCTCTGACCAAGGGGAAGAAAAGGAAACCCCATCTGTGCAGGTCATTGCACGTTGAACAAACAGCAGCCCTCACGGCTCACAGCTAGAAGGTGATTCTATTTCTGCATTCAGACTGTTAATATGTCAAAAGCTTTTAGCTCTACGATCTCCAGTTTTCTTGGCTTGCCTGTCATAGAGATAGAACAAGAAAAGAAAAAAGGAAACAGGAAAAGTCACTAATGCTCTGTGACCGTGGTGTAGGTCTGGCATGATTTCTCCCTGTCATGGTATTTCTTATCTGCCTGCCTTCAAGAATTATATGCTAGGTCATGCTTTAGTATAAAACAAAAAGTTATTAAATTATATAACTTGCATAAATTAATGTAAACCAAATAAAATCAAAACAGGCAGAGAATTTACCTGACAGCAGTGTCTGAAATTTCAGGAAATCCTCTTGGAAGTTTTGACTGGGTATCGAATGTACACAGGTGTGCAGTTACAACGATGCTTCTAGTAAGAAATATTTTTAAAAAAGCTTGAGTGATCATAAATCTCAGTCAGCATACTGAGACTGAAGTTCCAATGAATCAGCAGATCAAAAATGAGTTATATATCATAGGATCAGGACTGTGAAAAGGAACCAGCTCAACACAGTTTCAGCACCACCCATTGTTGCGTTAAGAGTAAGGATGTGATATTTGCCTGTCAGAGTCCTCTCAGGAACTTTCACTGAAACAGTTTCGCAAAGATGCAAATACAGATAATTCATTAGAGTGGCAGATACAACAGGTGTGGAATTGCTGCTGATAAATGCACTTACTGCAGT